AACTGTCACCATCATCATCAACATCTAAAACTTCTCATACTTCTCAAACAATAAGTTTGTACTATTTTTGTATTTTTCTTCACCAGACATTTGTCGGTGGAGGTCAAGGAGGTGGATAATTGGAAAAAAGCAAAAAAAAAACATTCGCTGCAAAAATTTAAAAAATGGAGCGCGCTGCTACTGAACTGCGCGTCATGAATGAAATGGAAAGAGGAATAAAAAAATGTGAGCAAAACTGGGAGAAAAACAAAAGTTTTTTTTATTTATTTTGGTGTAAGTTTGTGTTTGAGAATGCAAGACGAGACCAAAGAAAAAAAATGGGGTAAAACTTTTGTGTGCAACAACAAATACATCATACTCAAAGGATGGATGACTCTACGATTAACGACAACATTGTTTTTATTGTTGTTGTAGTTTAGTTGTTGCAATACATAGACTTTATAGAGTAACAACAAACACACACACAACAATTACCAAAGCACACACAAATATGCAACACACACACTCACATACACTTTGTCTACAATTTGAACACAAATATAAAACTTAAGGAAGTTTATTCGCTTGGCTTGGTCACTCACTGCTACTCAATATTCAAATAAATGGAGAAAAACAAACTAAACTAAAAGAAGTGGTCAGAACAGTGGGTTTAAAGAGTAACACTTGTACCAAACTATTTTCTATAGAAAAAACGTCCCAAACTATATTCTATAGAAAAAACGTTGTCCCAAACTATATTCTATAGAAAAAACGTTGTCCCAAAGTATTTTCTATAGAAAAACCTTTGTCCCAAACTATTTTCTACAGAAAAATCTTTGTCCCAAACTATTTTCTATAGAAAAAAATTTGTGCCAAACTTTTTTCTATAGAAAGAAATTTGTCCCAAATTATTTTTTATAGAAACAATTATGTCCCAAACTAATTTCTATAGAAAAAACTTTGACCCAAACTATTTTCTATAGAAAAATCTTTGTCCCAAACTATTTTCTATAGAAAAAACTTTGTCCCAAACTATTTTCTAAAAGACTTTACCCCAAACTATTTTCTAAAGAAAAAAACTTTGTCCCAAACTATTTTCTAAAAGAAAGACTTTGCCCCAAACTATTTTCTAAAGAAAAAAACTTTGTCCCAAACTATTTTCTATAAAAAACTATGTCCCAAACTATTTTCTATAGAAAAAACTTTCTCCCAAACAATTTTCTAAAGAAAAAACTTTCTCCCAAACTATTTTCTACAGAAAACACATTGTCCCAAACTATTTTCTATAGCAAAAACTTTGTCCCAAACTATTTTCTTTACAAAAAACTTTGTCCCAAACTATTTTCTATAGAAAAAACTTTGTCCCAAACTATTTTCTATAGAAAAAACTTTGTCCCAAACTATTTTCTATAGAAAAAACTTTGTTCCAAACTATTTTCTATAGAAAAAACTATGTCCCAAACTATTTTCTATAGAAAAAACTTTGTCCCAAATTATTTTCTATAGAAAAAACTTTGTTCCAAACTATTTTCTATAGAAAAAACTTTGTCCTAAACTATTTTCTATAGAAAAAACTTTGTTCCAAACTATTTTCTTTTAGATAATCTTTATCCTTAATTAATTTTTAATTTATTTTCTTTAAAAAAAATTTGTCCCAAAGTATTTTCTTTAAAAAAAAAACTTTGTCCCAAACTTAAAAATGTTTTTTTTTTATTTCATTCAAAATCAAATTAACGTCTTTAATAAATGTTCGAAAAACAGAGAAATCACCATAACAGGGAGTTTTTGGTGGTGTAATTCAATATTCACCATACTTTCGAAGTTAGTCAAGACAACAACCTCAATGAAAAAATTTAAACCATAGACAAAGGTGTAAAACAGTAATGGTTTCGAATTTTGCTAATAAAAATTAAAGTTAATTACAGAAACCGGATTTGAAAGTTTATAAGGTGAGAGAACATAATAAGGACTAAATAAATTAGTTGTTGTAATGAAATTCCTAAAATAACCGTTATGTTTGAATGACTGTAACTAAAAAAAAAACTTCGTAATCTTCACACAATTTCAAATCTTATGCTTATTAAATTTTAATGTTATTCCAGAATTCAGTATTAAATTAACAAAATTTTGTTACAGTTTACAATATGATGTCATACTATTACAAATATGTACTTCTATTAATAATAATCGATTAAATATTTTTATTAAAACGCAACAACAACAATAAACTATCATCATCATTCTTTACAAAACCCCAAAGTGAACTTTTAAATTAAATAGAATGATTTAATAACAATATCCGCTGCGTATTAAACAAAAAAAATTGCTAAATGCAAATTATTTCAATTTGAATTTTATGCAATTTGTGGTTTAAATTTTTTCAATACAAGTAGACAACAACAACAACAGCAAGAAATTGATGACAAATAAAATACAAAAAGAAAATAATAATAAGCAAATCAATCAATGTAAATATCAACATATATGACAAATTATTGCAACAAATTATAGAGACTATGAGAAAAATAGAGAGAAAGAGAGTAAATCAAAAAAAATCTAGATTTCGGTCAATTTTAATTGTTTGCACAAAATGTTATTTGTACTTTGTAGTTTGTTTATATTTTTAGTTTTTTTATATTTTTTTCTCTACAACAATTTGTTTATTTGCCATTTATTATAGAATTTTAATTAGGTAATATTTTCGCTTAATTATAATTCAAAATAATAAAAATTATTTAAATTAAAATAGTGTATTATATAAATTGCAAGAATGTAGAAGGAAAATTACACAAGAATATTTATTTTAATGAAATAATGTAATTCCCGGAATAGTCGCGAATAAAATTAGAATTTGTATAGATTTTTTTATATTTAACTTAACACACATCTACAGAACAGATTTCTCTTCTATAAATATAATTTATTGTTTAATAAAAGCTGTGATTCCCAGAATATTCAGGAATGAAATTAAAATTTGTTATTTTATTCATTCTGTAGACATTCATTTCGAATTTTTCCAAAGGAATTGGAAGATTAATCAAAGTAAAAAAGTGACCCAGTTGAACTGAGTACCCCCAGACATTAGTCTATATTTTAAATAACATGTCAACTGGTAGCCAATAGGCTTTGTTCCCATCTAGCTCCCGATATTTCTAGTCTATGCACTACTTTAAAGTCTAGTTAATGAATTAGTTTATGGACGACTCCACCAACCAGTGTATGGCTTACTCTGTCGACTAGAGTATGGCTTACTCTATAGCCTAGTCTAGGGACAACTCTATAGATTAGTCTAGGGACAACTCTATAGACTAGTCTTTGGACTACTCTATAGACTAGTCTTTGGACTACTCTATAGACTAGTCTTTGGACTACTCTATAGACTAGTCTTTGGACTACTATGGACTACTCCATAGACTACTCAATAGACTGGTCTATGGACCTTTCAATAGACTGGTCTATGGACTTTTCTATAGACTGGACTATGGACTATTCTATAGATTGGTCTATGGACTATTCAATAGACTGGTCTATGGACTACTCTATAAACTAGTCTATGGACTACTCTATAGACTAGTCTATGGACAACTCTATATAGACTACTATATAGACTAGTCTATGGACTACTATATAGACTAGTGGACTACTTTATGGACTAGGCTACGGACTAGTCTATGGACTATACTATAGACTGGTCTATGGACTACACTATAGACTGGTCTATGGACTACTCTATAGACTAGTCTATGGACTACTCTATAGACTAGTCTATGGACTACTCTATAGACTAGTCTATGGACTACTCTATAGACTAGTCTATGGACTACTCTATAGACTAGTCTATGGACTACTCTATAGACTAGTCTATGGACTACTCTATAGACTAGTCTATGGACTACTCTATAGACTAGTCTATGGACTACTCTATAGACTAGTCTATGGACTACTCTATAGACTAGTCTATGGACTACTCTATAGACTAGTCTATGGACTACTCTATAGACTAGCCTATGGACTACTCTATAGACCAGTCTATGGACTACTCCATAGACTAGTCTATGGACTACTCTATAGACTAGTCTATGGACTACTCTATAGACTAGTCTATGGACTACTCTATAGACTAGTCTATGGACCACTCCATAGACTAGTCTATGGACCACTCCATAGACTAGACTATGGACCACTCCATAGACTAGACTATGGACTACTCTATAGACTAGTCTATGGACTACTCTATAGACTAGTCTATGGACTACTCTATAGACTAGACTATGGACTACTCTATAGACTAGTCTATGGACTACTCTATAGACTAGTCTATGGACTACTCTATAGACTAGTCTATGGACTACTCTATAGACTAGTCTATGGACTACTCTATAGACTAGTCTATGGACTACTCAACAGACTAGTCTATGGACTACTCTATAAACAAGTCTATGTACTACTCTATAGACTATTCTATGGACTACTCTATAGACTAGTCTATGGACTGCTCTATAGAGAAGTCTAAGGACTACTTTATAGACTAGTCTACTCTATAGACTAGTCTATGGACTGCTCAGACTAGTCTACGGATTACTCTATAGACTAGTCTGTGGACTACTCTATAGACTACTCTATGGACTACTCTATAGATTAGTCTGTTCATTAACTAGTCTATGGACTACTCTATAGTCTAGTCTATGGACTACTCTATAGTCTAGTCTATGGACTACACTATAGTCTAGTCTATGGACTATAGACTTGTCTATGGATTACTCAATAGACTAGTCTATGGACTCCTCTATAGACTAGTCTATAAACTACTCTATAGACTAGTCTATGGACTACTCTATGGACTACTCTATAGACTAGTCTATGGACTACTCTATAGACTAGTCTATGGATTACTCTATAGACTAGTCTATGGACTACTCTATAGACTAGTCTGTGGACTACTCTATAACCTAGTTAAACCTTTGTAGTAAAAAAACTTATACTTTACATATGATTTTCTTATAATTACTCTTTTAACTCACCTGTAGTTCTGATTCGGTTACATCAATTTCACCACGATAAACAAAATCAATGATGGTTTTTAAATCTGTAAATATAATATCGCCTGGCAATATTATGGTTGGATGTTTGCAGGGATTCTCCAATAATAATTTTTGAAAATATGATGAACAGGCTGAAAGCACCACCTGTGTGTGTGTTAGAAAAAGATGTAATGTTATCAATAAAGTATAAATAAAATTTATAATAATATAATATTTTACCTTGTGGGCCTTAAGAGAACCATGTTCACATGATAGGGTTACATCAACAAATGATAAATCTTCACGCAATTGCTGAAACACCGAAGTCATGGTGTTTTGATAGTTATTCCATCGCAAACTAAAATATTGATGACTTCGTTGAGCCATTTTGTAGCCGTGATTTTTCTTTTTATTTTGTTGAGTTGAATTTTAATTGTTGTATTTTGGTGGATTTTTGCGTACTTTTGGTTGTAATTAACCTTTTGGCGAGTAAATTTAATATATAAATCCAATTTATATGTTTAGATTTTATGGATTTCTTTAAGCTTTTGTAGCTTTTTTGGGGGCATAAAAGCGGTATTAGGTGAAATTCCTTTGCTAATGAAAGCTGCAATGAAAAAGAGAAAAGAATTGTTTTAGTTAAGGATTTTAAAAAGATTTAGTAGAAGTTTATTTTGGTAAATATTTACAGATGTTAAAAATGTTATTAAAAACTCTTTTAACTATAACTAGAGAGGATATAAGTTTAAATGTACCCTTCAAACGACAGAGTTATAACACTGATCTCTTGTCAAACTTATAAAAGTCTCAGTCTGTTAGAATTTAGAACTTGTTTAGTATTATAACTAAATTTAAAGACAACCAATTAGTAAACTCTTTCAACATATTCCTTAAACCCTTAAATAATTAGACTGAAATAAGTCTCTTAGTAATTTTTGCCAATTCCTGACCTAAGACAATACAATACAAATGAAATACTTTAAAAAGATTCCAATTCAATTTTCTTCCTTTTAAAAAACCCAAAAAGTTTTAAAAGATTTATTTTTTTTTATTTTCAAAAGTTACTTCAGCATCCAGCATTCCTTTTATGGTTTCCAAAAAGGAACTGGTTTAGGAAGTTTTTGTTCTTGTGTTTAAAAATTAAGAAAAAGGAAAAATGAAATAAAATACCTATAATTGCGCATTGTTTATTTTTAGACAAATAAAACAGAAAAAACCCTTTAAAAACCCTTTAACAAATAGTAAATATATTTTTTTTTCTTGATTTTTGTTTAAAAAATAATTTTGTGCATGAATGCAGGCAAAATAAAAATAAAATAAGTAAAAAATGTATAGACGACAACAAGTTGCTTTTAAAAGTTTCTCTTTTATTTGCAGTTTAAATACAATTTTCTAAAAACCAAAAAAATACTACACAGGCTGCTGCTAAAGCTACCACTCTGCAGTATACTATACAGCTGGTATGGTAAACTCAATACAATAGTAATTTTTTTGACTTCTAAAAACAGTCTGTACTCTAATCTCTAGTCTAGTCCATAGTCTAGTCTATAGTCTAGTCTATAGTCTAGTCCATAGTCTAGTCCATAGTCTAGTCTATAGTCTAGTCTATAGTCTAGTCCATAGTCTAGTCTATAGTCTAGTCTATAGTCTAGTCTATAGTCTAGTCTATAGTCTAGTCTATAGTCTAGTCTATAGTCTAGTCTATAGTCTAGTCTATAGTCTAGTCTACAGTCTAGTCTATAGTCTAGTCTATAGTCTAGTCTAGTCTATAGTCTGGTCTTATAGTCTAGTCTATAGTCTAGTCTATAGTCTAGTGTTATAGTCTAGTCTATAGTCTAGTCTATAGTCTAGTCTATAGTCTAGTCTATAGTCTAGTCTATAGTCTAGTCTATAGTCTAGTCTATAGTCTAGTCTATAGTCTAGTCTATAGTCTAGTCTATAGTCTAGTCTATAGTCTAGTCTATAGTCTAGTCTATAGTCTAGTCTATAGTCTAGTCTAGTCTAGTCTATAGTCTAGTCTAGTCTAGTCTAGTCTATAGTCTAGTCTAGTCTATAGTCTAGTCTAGTCTATAGTCTAGTCTATAGTCTAGTCTATAGTCTAGTCTATAGTCTAGTCTATAGTCTAGTCTATAGTCTAGTCTATAGTCTAGTCTATACTCTAGTCTATAGTCTAGTCTATAGTCTAGTCTATAGTCTAGTCTATAGTCTAGTCTATAGTCTAGTCTATAGTCTAGTCTATAGTCTAGTCTATAGTCTAGTCTATAGTCTAGTCTATAGTCTAGTCTATAGTCTAGTCTATAGTCTAGTCTAGTCTATAGTCTAGTCTATAGTCTAGTCTAGTCTATAGTCTAGTCTAGTCTATAGTCTAGTCTATAGTCTAGTCTATAGTCTAGTCTATAGTCTAGTCTATAGTCTAGTCTATAGTCTAGTCTATAGTCTAGTCTATAGTCTAGTCTATAGTCTAGTCTATAGTCTAGTCTATAGTCTAGTCTGTAGTCTAGTCTATAGTCTAGTCTGTAGTCTAGTCTATAGTCTAGTCTGTAGTCTAGTCTGTAGTCTAGTCTATAGTCTAGTCTATAGTCTAGTCTATAGTCTAGTCTATAGTCTAGATAGTCTAGTCTATAGTCTAGTCTATAGTCTAGTCTATAGTCTAGTCTATAGTCTAGTCTATAGTCTAGTCTATAGTCTAGTCTATAGTCTAGTCTATAGTCTAGTCTATAGTCTAGTCTATAGTCTAGTCTATATAGTCTATAGTCTAGTCTATAGTCTAGTCTATAGTCTAGTCTATAGTCTAGTCTATAGTCTAGTCTATAGTCTAGTCTATAGTCTAGTCTATAGTCTAGTCTATAGTCTAGTCTATAGTCTAGTCTATAGTCTAGTCTATAGTCTAGTCTATAGTCTAGTCTATAGTCTAGTCTATAGTCTAGTCTATAGTCTAGTCTATAGTCTAGTCTATAGTCTAGTCTATAGTCTAGTCTATAGTCTAGTCTATAGTCTAGTCTATAGTCTAGTCTATAGTCTAGTCTATAGTCTAGTCTATAGTCTATAGTCTAGTCTAGTCTATAGTCTAGTCTATAGTCTAGTCTATAGTTAGTCTATAGTCTAGTATAGTCTAGTCTATAGTCTAGTCTATAGTCTAGTCTATAGTCTAGTCTATAGTCTAGTCTATAGTCTAGTCTATAGTCTAGTCTATAGTCTAGTCTATAGTCTAGTCTATAGTCTAGTCTATAGTCTAGTCTATAGTCTAGTCTATAGTCTAGTCTATAGTCTAGTCTATAGTCTAGTCTATAGTCTAGTCTATAGTCTAGTCTATAGTCTAGTCTATAGTCTAGTCTATAGTCTAGTCTATAGTCTAGTCTATAGTCTAGTCTATAGTCTAGTCTATAGTCTAGTCTATAGTCTAGTCTATAGTCTAGTCTATAGTCTAGTCTATAGTCTAGTCTATAGTCTAGTCTATAGTCTAGTCTATAGTCTAGTCTATAGTCTAGTCTATAGTCTAGCCATAGTATAGTCTACAGTCTAGTCTATAGTCTAGTCTTTAGTCTAGTCTATAGTCTAGTCTATAGTCTAGTCTATAGTCTAGTCTATAGTCTAGTCTATAGTCTAGTCTATAGTCTAGTCTATAGTCTAGTCTATAGTCCAGTCTATAGTCTAGTCTATAGTCTAGTCTATGGTCTAGTCTATAGTCTAGTCTAGTCTATAGTCTAGTCTATAGTCTAGTCTAGTCTATAGTCTAGTCTAGTCTATAGTCTAGTCTAGTCTATAGTCTAGTCTATAGTCTAGTCTATAGTCTAGTCTATCTAGTCTAGTCTATAGTCTAGTCTAGTCTAGTCTATAGTCTAGTCTAGTCTATAGTCTAGTCTAGTCTAGTCTATAGTCTAGTTATAGTCTAGTCTAGTCTATAGTCTAGTCTAGTCTATAGTCTAGTCTAGTCTAGTCTATAGTCTAGTCTAGTCTATAGTCTAGTCTAGTCTATAGTCTAGTCTAGTCTATAGTCTAGTCTAGTCTAGTCTATAGTCTAGTCTAGTCTATAGTCTAGTCTAGTCTATAGTCTAGTCTAGTCTATAGTCTAGTCTATAGTCTAGTCTATAGTCTAGTCTATAGTCTAGTCTATAGTCTAGTCTATAGTCTAGTCTATAGTCTAGTCTATAGTCTAGTCTATAGTCTAGTCTATAGTCTAGTCTATAGTCTAGTCTATAGTCTAGTCTATAGTCTAGTCTATAGTCTAGTCTATAGTCTAGTCTATAGTCTAGTCTATAGTCTAGTCTATAGTCTAGTCTATAGTCTAGTCTATAGTCTAGTCTATAGTCTAGTCTATAGTCTAGTCTATAGTCGAGTCTATAGTCTAGTCAGTCTAGTCTATAGTCTAGTCTATAGTCTAGTCTATAGTCTAGTCTATAGTCTAGTCTATAGTCTAGTCTATAGTCTAGTCTATAGTCTAGTCTATAGTCTAGTCTATAGTCTAGTCTATAGTCTAGTCTTTAGTCTAGTCTAGTCTAGTCTATAGTCTAGTCTATAGTCTAGTCTTTAGTCTAGTCTTTAGTCTAGTCTTTAGTCTTGTCTTTAGTCTAGTCTTTAGTCTAGTCTTTAGTCTAGTCTTTAGTCTAGTCTTTAATCTAGTCTTTAGTCTAGTCTTTAGTCTAGTCTTTAGTCTAGTCTTTAGTATAGTCTTTAGTCTAGTCTTTAGTCTAGTCTTTAGTCTAGTCTTTAGTCTAGTCTTTAGTCTAGTCTTTAGTCTAGAGTTTAGTCTAGTCTTTAGTCTAGTCTTTAGTCTAGTCTTTAGTCTAGTCTTTAGTCTAGTCTTTAGTCTAGTCTTTAGTCTAGTCTTTAGTCTAGTCTTTAGTCTTTAGACTAGTATATATTCTAGTTTATTCTCCACCCTATTCTAGAAGTAGGTACTCTTTTTTTCTAAAATTTTCTACAATTTTAAAATTTCAATTGCCCATTCCTGCGCTACACAGCAGTATAAATGTAGCATCAACTAAAAAATTTGAAGACGAAAAAACTTTTCTTTTTTTTTTTTTTTTTGTTCAAAAATACAATGCAATACAAACAACAACATATCAAGCTGCAACAGAGGCAACATTTGCAGTGAGTATTTCTGTTCGTATAGAGGTACCTTAATCATTCACTTTTACATTTTATAAATTGTACATAAAATATGTATTTCCATTGCAATTGAAGGGCTTTTAAGTGAAATAACCAACAACAACAACAGCAGCATTTAAAATCAATTTTCGTTTTTTGTTGTTGTTCATGTTTCTCTATTTCTGTGAACCAAAACGTACAATAAATGTACAAAAAAATGTAAACCATTGTAATGTGAAACAAAAAAAGAATTACAAAACATTAAAAGCAGACATTTAAAATGATTGAAAATTTCTCATTTGATTGAATTTTTCAGTTTCAAGTAAAATTGGAATTTATTTTAATTTAAATGTAGAATCTTTTAAAACTGAAAATATAAGTATTAGAACAGAAAAAGGTATATCAAGATTTATTTCAGTAATATAACATTGGAAATTTGTCAGTTTTTTAACTAAATTAGAAGGATCCTTCTTCTCTACAAATTTGAATGGATTTCCTTCGCTTTCATAAATACTTCAC